ACGGGCCCAGCCGCTCCGCGGCATGTGGGATCTTCCCGGACCGGGGCACGAACCTGTGTCCCCTACATCGGCAGGCGGACTCTCAACCACTGCGCCACCAGGGAAGCCCTTAAGTAAACATTTTGACTTGCACATGAACTATTTTTTATGAACTTAAATCTTTATTATTGAGATTTAGTCTTCTAAAGTTGTTCGTTCTTTAGCTTTAAAACAATTAACAAAAAATCAGTTCCCTAACTGAACTGATTTTCATGTTTCCGGATATGATTTGATATAAAAAATTCCAATAATAAGTATTCCATTCTCTGTTTTTCTATTATATATTGATATTTTTTGTTTTACGATGATTACTGAGAATATTTTTCTATGTAGATAAATGCGGTCTTAAAAATGATCTTTTCCACATATAAAATATATTAGGCATGCCACCATCTCATCCATATCATAGCTGATTTACTCCCTTTTACCTCTGTGGATTTTTGCTCATTTCTTCCACTTGTACTCCTACTGGTTAACGTCTGCCATCTTCTCTACACTCTGATGAAATCCAATACTTTATACTATATTGACACTGACTGACACCAACTGTCTGTGACACCTTTTTTTTCCCCCTTTTAATTTGGAGAATTTATGTTTGAAGTCTTGTGTTACTCTCTGATAAGTACAAACACTCTGATATGTTACAAACAAGTGAATAAACACAGTTCCTGGGTATGCTTATTCATCCAAACATTTACCCAACTGTACTTTCAGTACTTCTCTTCTGCCACTTCATCACAAACTCCCACCCTGAGACACAATAAACGGGCACCAGACCTGGTTATGGGTTATCTCTTCCGCTCATCACCTAGATGACAGCATAGCTTGTTTCTTGCTTCACTCAGATTCTCAAATGACAGTTTATCAGAAAGAATTTGTCTTTACCACCGATAAAAATAACTCCCATCCCTTTTACTCTGTTCCCTTTTCTCTACTGTAGTTTCTGCTATTTGTTCACTCATTTACTGTAATTTTCCAATATTCTGTGAGCCCCAAAGCATAAACATTGGCTGTCTTATTCACCACGATATTTGGTAACATTGCCTAAAATAGTGCCTGGCACTAGGAAGCACTCAATATTTGTTGAACAAATGCTCTGATCTCCAGGAGACTCTGGAAAGGAGGACAACTTGTAAAATGCATTGTAGGAGACCCACCTTCACCCCATTTTTGAGTTTGATGAGTGGGAAACTGGAACAAATCTTTTTAATTTGGAGATACAAAGGTAGAAAGAGAGTATAGGCCTCTGTATTAGTTTGCTAAGGCTGCTGTAACTTAAGTACCATAAACTGAGTGGCTTAAACAACAGAAATGTATTGTCTCATAGTTCTGGAGGCTAGAAGTCCGAGATCAAGGTACCAGCAGTGTTGGTTCCTTCTGAGAGCTGTGAGGGACAATCTATTCCAAGCCTCTCCCCTAGCTTCTGCTGGTTTGTGGGCAATCTGGCAATTCTAGCTTCTAAGAAGTATCACCCTGATCTCTGCCTTCATCTTCACATGGCATTCTCCCTGTATGTATGTCTGTCTCCAAAATTCCCTTTTTATAAGGATGCCAGTCATATTGGATTACAGCCCACCTTAATGACTTCACCTTAACTAATTATATCTGCAAAGACTCTATTTCCGAATAAGAACACTGAGGGTTAGGACTTCAACATATGAATTATGGGGCAACACAATTCAATGTGTAATAGCCTCCTTGGCAAATCTGAGGGAGATGGGAAGTCTTGTAGAAGGTCTCCTGAAGAATCATGGAGATCCAGCACAAGATTAGAAATGGTGGGGTGGCATGTTCCAGGCATAAGGGGCAACAGCCTTCCATTTACCCTCCTAAGGGTCCTATGGTTTCAAACAAATAACAGAACATCCAAAAGCTGAAGTGATACCCCAAGAGAATATTAGTTTAGAGAGAAATTGCCGGCAGACTTGTAAATGTCTTGAAACTAGTTCAAGGGAATGCTGCTACAGAGGGTGCATTTTGCACTGGCTTTGGGATTCAGCCAATTTTGTGAATTTCTGCTGATGGCAGGGTGAGCGGAGACAAACCCAAAGGCCAGACTGCATGAGTTATATCACTTTAGATGCCAGCAGGAGACTGACATAGAGCAAGATGGAGAAAAACGCTGACTTCCCACTGGTGACAGTGGCGTTTGTGTAAGCCAGTAGGATTTAACATCAATCCCAAAGAAAAAAAGAGTCCAAGTACAGAATTTTTCTTAGTTAAAGCTGAAATGACTGAGAAAAATCACCAAAGTAACTAGGCTTATCTGGAAGTGGTAAGATCCTAATAATAATAATAATAATAATAATAATGTTGTTATTGTATCAGAGAGAACCAGGGACTGGTATAGAGTATGTTGTGATAGAAATTAATTTGTGGAAAAGAAAGAAAAGTTACCTCTTGTCACATAAGGCCTAAATTTGTGGTCTATTAAGCCTGTACCCATCAAGTTTTCTTTAACCAAGGAGATTCTTTAACCAAGGAGAATATTGGAAGGATAACTTGCTATTGATGTACTATTATGAATAATACCTAGGCAGTACAACATAAAAATTAAAGGTTTCATATATTTTACTGGCTGGAAAAATACATATTATGGGTAAAATCCATATGTTTTTTTGGTGTCAACATGATCAATATTCCCACTAATCTCCATTAAATATCATATAATAAATGGATCACCTAAAATAATACAAGAATAAGACTTGTTCTTTTTTCTGTAATTTTAACTCCCTCTACAATATACCTTTCTAATGGTTACTTATGACCACTTGCTCACTCTTTAAGGCAGATTGGGTTCCTCTAGGAGACGTGACCACAGCCACCCTTGCATCCCACCTGCTGGTTCTTGGTCTTTCTCATAGCGAGCTGACTCAGGACAGGGTCAATTCTGCCCTCCTTTTCCTAGATGCCCTTCCAGGTTATGCACAGCCATTGTACCCATTCCCAGCTTATTGGTCATTTTTTTCCCCTTGACTGAAGTGAAAATGTTTTCTCCTGGAAAAAAACTGTGGAGGCCCTGGTTTTATAAGTTTGATGGCTCTTATAATAACATCATTTAAAACAAGCAAAAAAATGTCCTTCCTAAACCAGCTACATGCTTTACACTATTCATATATTTAGAAGTACCGCTCTCTTTAATTTTCACTTCTTTCATCCCTTCTGTAACAGGATCTTCTTTTCATTTGGGAAGTCTTACCTGCCATTTGTAAGGATGAGGCACACGAGGGTTACCGGAATCTCTCTTGGGGCTCCATGTATGCTTCCTTGCTTCAGTGCACCACAAATCAGGGTCCTGATTAATGTGCAAGTCACCCCTGACTGCTGAGTTGGACGCGCCATCTCACAGCCACCTGAGTAATAAGAACACTCTTGATGACTTGGTCCCTCACTGATGGTCCCTTCCTTCTTAGCCCGGGGGCCCATTTTGCTTCTTGTATTTTCCTAGGATATAACGACTACATTGAGGAATGTTTCCTCTCTCTCCTTATTCTCACTACCTTCTTGTAGAATTTATGGGAATCTGCACACTAAATCATCCCACAAGGATGTAAGACCCTCTCTTTCTAGGGTCTTTCTGCATTTAAAAATAAAGATTGGAACTTGTGATAGTAGTTAGGACCACTATAAAGGAGCAGATAGCCTGTGTTTACTAGACTGATGGGGCTCACTGAAGAGGTTTTTACACCAATTTGCAAGGGACAAAAGGTGCCTTTATTTTGATTTGTTTTTTATTCTTGTTAAATAAAATGAGAAATAACTTGCAAAATATTAACCTTAAGAAGAGGGTAGTTTGTTGGCAATATTTCAACATATATATGAATAAGCAAAGGTGACTTATAAAGAAAAATGTGTACTATTCTAATCAATAATTATTGTTATCATTCATACTGCCCTGCCACATAATTCTCAATTTAAGTATTTATGTACACACCCAGATAAAATTTAAACTCCTCCAAGAAAGAGGAAAGTTTTATCATGTATTATAATTTTATCTAGGACACCCAACAAGGGCTTTTCACATAGTGGGGCTTTCATATATATGTTATTGTATATGCAGAGATGTATATATACTAAATGTATCACATATATATAATATACGCATATATCTTATATATATCTTTAATATTTTCATATATTACACACATATACTAAAGCTACCACATTTATCTACCATATACTTACTCTATATCATGTATATATACTTAATATATATTTACATATTTTGTAATATACACCTTACATGTATGCATCTTGTGTAGCTTATGATATGCATGCATGTATTATAGTTCACATATATCTTATAATATCTTCGTATTTGGTGTGATTCTTATTTTAACAGACAATTTTTTTCCCTAGGAAGCGAAAGCCAAGTAAAAAGATTTGGAATCTTTAAAAGACCCATGTTTAGACTGTTAAATGTTAACGATGCTATGAATTCCTAAGCTGTGTGCTAACCAAACACATTATTAAAAGTGCTAATATTCAAATGTGAAAATCACCAGGTGGGAGCACAACAGAGGACTCTGGTTTGCAGAGGAGCCCTCATCCTGGGGACACAGGGTGAAATAAGGATGCTGGAGCAGAAGGTGATGTGATGTAATTGTGAAAATTCTTCCTGAAGCAGGATACAGATTCCTCCTTTCACTTAGTCTGATGCTGTAACAGGGTTCATTTCACCCAAACCGGAGGTCTCCTCATTATCCCTTCACACCCGGCAGACACAGCCTCTGAAGCAGTTTTCTGTGGTGCTTGCTGGTCTAGACAGGCATGATTTGCTCGGATGTTGAGAGGTGAAGGGGCAGAGCCCGGGAGGCTCCCTCGTGAATTTCGCAGGCAGGTCTCTTTAATTCAATCACTTGCTGGACCTGCCAACCGAAATGGGCGTGTGAGAGAGAAAGTCAGCTGTCCAGCAAAGGGGCTGCAGTGCCAGCTTCATCTCGGCCTTTATCAAGTGCGACTGTATTTTAATGCTGTGGCAGTAGTTCCAGAGGGAAAGATGGAGCTGTGGCAACTTGTTTGGATCTAACATGAGGCTTCAAGACGTGCCTGGAGAGACTCGTGCTGGGAGGAGCCCCCATCTCTGGCCACGGCCTGTGGAGACGCTGCGTTGGCTGCTCTCTGTGCATTTGCACATTCTCAGTAGTGCTTGTCAGCTTGTCATCCTCAGGTGTAATTGCCTCTTTTCTAGCTTATTCTCTGATCAGCATCACCTGCACTGCAAATCGGCTTCCCACTGCACGTGCTCCGTAGGCCTCTTGGTGATTTCAACACCCCAGGCGTCTTGATCAACACACTCAGAGCACCAGCATCCAGTTTCAACGCTGGACAAATGGGTTCTCCTCATCACTTTTCCCTCCCCTCCTTCCTTCTCATTTTGATGGGCTTCGTCCATACAAATACGGTCTACTTAAGGCTAAAACTACATTCCACAGCACACCTTCTGGCCCCTTCAGTATCAAAAGTGAATTATCTTTGCCTTAATTTTCCCCCTTTGGTAAGGGATAGGAGGATTAGTACAGAGAAGCCAGGCAGGACAAAAAACCAAATTCTTCCACAATCCACATTTTCCTAAATGGATTACTAAATGCATATTACCAATCACACCATTTTGTTTAGGCAAAAGAGAGAGAGAGAATATCAAGCTGTTGTTATACACTACTAATTACGGATGAAAGGATTAAATTGGAAAGAATCTGACTGCAGGAAAATGGCAAAGAAAAAAAAAAGGCTAATATTGTTATTATTCAACAGAGACAACACACAAAGAAAACAGAGTTTAAGCCTTTCTTCAAAGGAATTTTGAAGGTAATTTGATGGATTTTTACAATGCAATTATTATTAAGAATCAAAAGTACATTTTTAAACAAAAGAACTCATGGAAGGGCAAAATCTCCCCAGCATGGACAGGAGAGAAAAGGGTCTCAAAAATTTCATAGTAAGTGGTTCTTTACTATGAAATCCCTGATTTCTGTCCCATTTTGGCTACCTCCTGCCTAGTATCCTCTATTCCCTTCTAATATCGTAAGATTTACACCCAAGCCATCTAATCAGGCATACATCCCAGTATGATTTTGAAACTTCGTTGGTCAGGCTAAATGAATCTTAGCCTACAAGGTAGAATACACGTTCTCATGCCTCAGAAATGCATTTGTTCATTTCAGGTGTTTCAAGGAATAAATTACTTTGCTGCTTGATGCAACATAACAGTTCCGTGCCTCAGTGTTCTTTATGCTAATTGAACTAGTCTGCTAAGTTAACAGCCTCAGGCCTCCCAAAGCAGTGAATTCATATTATCTATCCCACAAACATGTGTGACCTGTGGAAATGACAAGGAAAAAACTTGGGCTAACTGCCAGGTTTTCAATGGATTTTCAATTTCTGTAAGTCTCCATCATTAAGGAATAAAATGATCCCTCTTTTAATTTAAACTAACAGTTTTAAAGTGGGATAGTAGAAAATAAAATTTTCTTACAATTTTTGAAATTATTTTGGCACACATACCTCATGCTTTACTTGATTTGTGTCCTATAATGTGTAATGCAGCTAGAGTAAGACTCCCATGATCCCGCAATAAATAGGGAAATATAACTAATTATGAATATTTACAAAAATGGAAATGTTTCTTTAGAGAAGTTATGATGAGCTGAGTTTTGTGGGAAAACAAGCAGAGCAAGCTAAACCCTAATGTGATGTTATTTTGTCTGCTAATGCAGATCAGTCTGCCCCTAATAAAAGCCAGAGGTTTACTGCAAAAAGCAGTGGCAGAGGAAAGTTGATTATGATTTTAGCTCAGAGGGGAAGCACAGGTAATAGAAGTCTTTAGATCATTTTCACACTTTAATTTTAGATATTCATCTCTACTTTTCCCGAAATAAATATTGTACCATATCTATAGTGTTGTGACTTTTCCATATAAATCTAATGGAAACAGAGCCACTTGGATTTAATTTCTTAGAACTGGTGATTCACTTGGATCATTTATTTCAAGTTAATTATTGAGCGTCTACTACACACCATGAGTGCTAGGGGGTTACAACTGTGATGGGACATTCACAACCAAAGCCCCAACAGAGATCACCACTTAGCGGTTTCGAGTTTGCACTATTTCTCTTTCCTCCAAGGCCGACAGTCATCCCAACCTCCTTGGACTCACAGCTGCCTCCATACTAGAGCTGTGATCTGTGGCTGTGGCACAGATTTTTCTCTTTGAGAAGAAGAGATCTTATTGGGGGTGAACAGGCCAAGGCTGCCAGCATCTCTACCCCAGAAACAAATGACACAGCAGATCCACCTGGGCAACTTAGAATACCAAAGTTTGGGCTTCAATTTCTCCTGAAGTTGGTTTGCAGGTCAGGAGGAGGTGCTAATATTCTAAGGAAAACCAAAATGCGTGTGCATCTTCCTCTTCACTCCATCTCCTTTCCTCCCAGCTAGGCTGTGACGTCCTCCCCCAGTGTTCTGCTGCAAGGCTTGCTGAGTAAGAACCTAGGTTTCAGAGGTGAGACGGTAGAAGTACTGTTCTGTTTATGTTGTCCTAGACAGGTTATGTAGCATTCTGTTTGTTTTTTCCGGCTGACATAAAATAAACTGCAGGTGTTTAAAACATAGTTTGATAAGTCTGGGCACATGTGTATATCCATAAGGCCATTATCACCATCCAGATAATAAACAAATCAATGACCTCGAAATTGTTTCCTCACCTCCATTTGGTACTTAGCATTCTAAGCCCCAGATTCTTCATCTGTAAAACCAGTATGAACATAGCAACCTCATAATGTCATGAAAAATTCACAACACACAGGTAAAGTGAACACTATACAGCAGAAGAGGGGTCTGTGTTAGGTCCTTACCCCCACTTTGCATTAGTGAATATTCATGAATTGTCAAGTTCTTACTGATTCTACCATTTTATGCTTCTCATTCTTTTCCCGCAGTAAGTCAAATCTTTTCTCATGCTTATAACCAGAAATAAAAGATTCCTAGGTAAGCTCTACAGGAGGTCTGCTGAGCTAGTTGGGGAGAGGAGAAAGCTGGGCATTTTGAACTCCCCAGGCAGTGGATGGTAACTATGGACACAAGCCCTACTGCTGGCTGACAGCTGAGCAAATGTGTGTGAGAGAATCTGGAAGGGAGGGGGCACATCAAGGGCACTGATGTCTCTACCTGAAGGGAGTCTGATCTTACATCAGTAGCTGGCACCAGGGATGGGGATTCACAAAATTCTGTCAGCAAGGAAAGTGCTATCTGGTTGAACAAGATGGGGTAGAGAGACAGTTAGCTTACCTGAGTCCACATAGAATCAGTTCCTGTTTATTTCCACAGACATTCAAAGTAAAATGGCTGAGATGTGGCACTCATAGAAGAATAGATTGTTTTCCTGTACCTGTGTAGGAAAAGAAGGGAAGAAACTATCTTAAGGAATCCAGTTGCATGTGAGAAAAGGAAAACAGATGAGAACTATGTCATATTTTACAGACGTAGAAGGGAATCCATGGCTGACTAACCACTGCCTAGGTTGAAAACTGCCATTTAGAGAGTTATTCACAATTGATTCTTACTCCTTTTCTAACTATAAAAATGCACCTGTTTAAGTAATGTTTGAGCACCACATGACTTAAAGCAATAAAAGACTGTCCAAGTGGCATTTGGAAAATTTATTTGAAAAGCACCCTATGTTATTAAATGATTCATACCCCCAACACACACAGGCCTAGAAATTATTTTAATTCATTGTTTTCCAACTTGGGATCTCACATTTCTAGCATAGTCCATTTTGATACTTTTTAAAAGTCAGTATTCTGAAGAATCTTGGAGACTAGTAGAGTTGGAAATATTTTAAAAGCTTCGAAGACAGATGAAAAGCTATTCGATTCAACCATAAGAAATTGCCGGGGAGACCTTCAAGATGGCGGAGGAGTAAGAGATGGAGATCACCTTTTTCCATACAAACACATCAGAAATGCACCTACATGTGGAACAACTCCTACAGAACACCTACTGAACGCTGGCAGAAGACCTCAGACCTCCCAAAAGGCAAGAAAGTCCCCACGTACCTGGGTAGGGTAAAAGAAAAAAGAATAAACAGAGACAAAAGAATAAGGACGGGGCCTGCACCAGTGGGAGGGAGCCGTGAAGGAGGAAAGCTTTCCAAACACTAGGAAGCCCCTTCGCGGGCGGAGACTGCGGGTGGCTGAGGGGGGAAGCTTCGGAGCCGCATAGAAGAGAGCAGCAACAGCGGTGCGGAGAGTAAAGCGGACAGAGGATGGGTGCCGACCAGCACTCAGCAGCCCGAGGGGCTTGTCTGCTCACCTGCCGTGGCTGGCGGGGGCTGGGAGCTGAGGCTCGGCTTCGGTCGGAGCGCCGGGAGAGGACTGGGGTTGGAGGCGTGAATACAGCCTGCAGGGGCTAATGCGCAACGGCTAGCTGGGAGGGAGTCCGGGGAAAAGTCTGCACCTGCCGAAGAGGCTATCAGGGCACGAGCGCGGCTATCAGCGTGGACCCCAGAGACGGGCATGAAACGCTAAGGCTGCTGCTGCCGCCACCAAGAAGCCTGTGTGCGAGCACAGCTCACTCTCCACACCTCCCCTTCCGGGAGCCTGTGCAGCCCGCCACGGCCAGGGTCCCGTGATCCAGGGACAACTTCCCCGGGAGAACGCACGGCGCGCCCTCCGTGCCCCTCCCTCCCCTCGGCCTGAGTGAGCCAGAGCCCCCGAATCAGCGGCTCCTTTAACCCCGTCCTGTTCCGGCAACCTACACGCAGAGGCAGGGCCAAATCCGAAGCTGAACCCCGCGAGCTGTGCGGACAAAGAAGAGAAAGGGAAATCTCTCCCAGCAGCCTCAGGAGCAGCGGATTAAATCTCCACAATCAATTAGATATACCCTGCATCTGTGGAATACCTGAATAGACAACAAATCATCCCAAATTGAAGTGGGGGACTTTGGGAGCAACTGTAGACTTGGGGTTGGCTGTATGTGACTGACAGGTTTCTGGTTTTATGTTTATCTTAGTTTAGTATTTAGAGTTTATTGTCATTGGTAGGTTTGTTTATTGATTTGGTTGCTCTCTTCCTTTTTTTCTTAATATATAGATATATATTTTTTTTTTTTCCTTTTTTTCTTTTTGTGTGTATGTGTATGCTTCTTTGTGTGGTATTGTCTGTATAGCTTTGCTTTTACCATTTGTCCTAGGGTCTGTCTGTCCGTTTTTTTGGGTGTTTTTTTTTTTTTTAGTATAGTTTTTAGCTCTTGTTATCACTGATGAATTTGTTTTTTGGTTTGGTTGCTCTTTTCTTTCTTTTTCCTTTTTTACTACATTTTAATTTTTAATAATTTTTAAATTTTTTTAATTTAAAAAACCGTATTTCTTTTATTTATCTTTTTCCTTTCTTTCTTTTTTTCTCCCTTTTCTTCTGAGCCATGTGGCTGACAGGGTCGTGGTGCTCTGACTGGGTGTCAGGCCAGTGCCTCTGAGGTGGGACAGCCGAGTTCAGGACACTGGTCCACAAGAGACCTCCCAGCTCCACGTAATATTAAATGGTGAAAGCTCTCCCAGAGATCTCCATCTCAACACTAAGACACAGCTCCACTCAACAACCAGCAAGCTACAGTGCTAGACACGCTATGCCAAAAAACTGGCAAGATAGGAACACAACCCACCCATTAGCAGAGAGGATGCCTAAAATCATAAAAAGGTCACAGCCACCACAAAACACACCGCCGTACGCAATCCTGCCCACCAGAAAGACAAGATCAAGCCTCATCCACCAGAACACAGGGACTAGTCCCCTCCACCAGGAAGCCTACACAACCCACTGAAGCAACCTTAGCCACTGGGGGCAGACACCAAAAACAACAGGAACGATGAACCTGCAGCCTGTGAAAAGGAGACCCCAAACACAGTAAGTTAAACAAAATGAGAAGACAGAGAAACACACAGCAGATGCAGGAGCAAGGTAAAAACCCACCAGACCTAATAAATGAAGAGAAAATAGGAAGTCTACCTGAGAAAGAATTCAGAGTAATGATAGTAAAGATGATCCAAAATCTTGGAAATAGAATGGAGAAAATACAAGAAACGTTTAACAAGGATCTAGAAGAACTAAAGAGGAAACAAAGAATGATGAACACCACAATAAATGGAATTAAAAATTCTCTAGAAGAATCAATAGCAGAATAACTGAGGCAGAAAATGGATAAAATAGTGGAAATAACTGCTGCAGAGCAGAATGAAGAAAAAAGAATGAAAAGAACTGAGGAGAGTCTCAGAGACCTCTGGGGCAACATTAAACTCACCAATGTTCGAATTATAGGGGTTCCAGAAGAAGAAGAGAAAAAGAAAGGGACTGAGAAAATATTTGAAGAGATTATAGTTGAAAGCTTCCCGAATATGGGAAAGGAAATATTCAATCAGGTCCAGGAAGTGCAGAGAGTCCCATACAGGATAAATACAAGGAGAAACATGCCAAGATACATATTAATCAAACCATCAAAAATTAAATACCAAGAAAAAATATTAAAAGCAGCAAGGGAAAAACAACACATAACATAAAAGGGAATCCCCATAAGGTTAACAGCTGATATTTCAGCAGAAATTCTGCAAGCCAGAAGGGAATGGCAGGACATAAAGTGATGAAAGGGAAAAAAATAAATACTGTATGCTAACACATATATATGGATCTAAAAAAAAAAGGTTCTGAAGAACCTAGGGGCAGGACAAGAAATAAGACGCAGACGTAGAGAATGCACTTGAGGACACAGGGAGGGGGAAGGGTAAGCTGGGACGAAGTGAGAGCGTGGCAGGGACATATATACACTACCAGATGTAAAATAGATAGCTAGTGGGAAGCAGTCGCATAGCACAGGGAGATCAGCTCGGTGCTTTGTGACCACCTAGAGGGGTGGGAGAGGGAGGGTGGGAGGGAGATGCGAGAGGGAGGAGATATGGGGATATATGTATATGTATAGCTGATTCACTCTGTTATAAAGCAGAAACTAACACACCATTGTAAAGCAGTTATACTCCAATAAAGATGTTAAAAAAAATTAAAGAAAAAATATTGCCATTTGCCAAGTGAAAATCATTGAAATATAGGTGATTTTACATGGCTCATCCTAAATAATTTGGATTCTTTAAGAGAATCTTAGCACAGAGTCTATTTCTAGAAAAGCACAATTTATACATTTTGGGCTTTTTTGTGAAGCTCCTATCGATTATGAAGGAAAGGCACATGAGCAAGTCCAGCGGTAGTCACACTAATTTAGTCCTGTGCAACTGTTCTTATGTTTTTTCAAGCTACTGAAATAATATCTGCTTATTTGCTTTTTCTATAATTAAAAAAATATCATTGTTATTTATGTTTATCTACATTGAGTGACATGTCCTAATTGTTATAAGACTAAAGTTTCCCAGGGATCTTGTTAAATGCTGATTTCTGGGCCATGTTCCAGACATACCGAGGGTGGAGGTGTTTTAGTCAGCTATAACAACATACTGAAGTCTGGTTGGCTTAAACAACAGAAGATTATTTTTCATAGTTCTGGAAGCTGCCAAGTCCAGGGGATCAAGGTCTTGGCCGAGTTGGTGTTTGGTGAGAACCCACTTCCTAGCTTTTAGACAACTGCCTTCTCGCACTATGTGCTCACATGGCCTTTCCTTGGCATGTAGAATAACTATGAATATCTCTCGTCCTTTTCTTGTAAGGGCACTAATTCCGTGATGAGGATCACACCCTCATGATGTAATCTAAACCTAATTACCTCTCAAAGACCCCATCTTTGTGAATTTGTGCAGATACAAACATTCAACCTATAACAGGGTAAGAACATGGAATTGCAATTTAAAACAAATTTCCTGAGTGAATATTAAATGCATATTTTTGAGACAATGTTATATACTTTTTATTTATCTTAATTTAAAATTTATAGCACTTAGATGTGGTGCATTTTACAACTGGAATTTTTAAAAAGAGGACTGAAAATTCAGCAAAGCTGAAGAATTTGCCAAGATCTGACAGCTGCAAAGTTCTGATTGATTTGAAATATGTGAATTCCCCTACATGTTTCAAGCCCTTTGTATGCCTATTAGTTGTCATCCTTGTGGAACCTTCTGCACATCAGTCTAAGTCAAATAACAGTAGCTTGACTGTATTAAGGCTGAAAAAAATATTGGCTACCTGAAAAGAACTGCTGTATTCTTGGAAAAATAGATGTGGTTGGTATTTCTAAGTATGAATCAAAAGTACAACAATAAGAAGTCACCAGGAACAACATAAGTAGAGCCATCTGGACAATCTATTCTTCATCATGATACTCTGTCTGTTAGGCATTGGCTGTTGATAGGAAGATCATAGTTCCTCTGTTTACAAAGGCTGCAGTAAACTGAAC